ACCACTAACTTGTATAGCCTGTGCTTACGATGGAACTCCCAAGTTAAAAATTGACAGGAACAGACGTGTAATAAGTTAAGCCGACATCCAAACATGAAGTAGTTGTTTGAAATAAAGTAGCTTTCAATCAGTCGTGAGTATGTCCAAAGCTTGTTGGTCGCGTTGGCAACTGACGCAATGGCAAGGTCTTTCGATACAATCTAGTGATTCAACGTTGTCTGTCAATTTACAACAGCGAGTTTTCCAGTCTTCTTAGCATTAAAAGATTTTAATTGTTTTTCTCATTTATTGCCTTAGATGGACCAAGGATTCGGCAGAAATCAACCCATTAAAAGTCTTGCGGCTTATTCTGTCTTATCCGTCCGGACATGACACTTGTTGTCTGGTGTTATACAAAGTTAGCCACCCAAAGTAAGCTGTTTTATTTTCGCCAAAGTTGTACCGTTTTCAAAGCATTTCCTTGAAGAAATTAACACCGATACATTTGATCGTAGTCCCTCATAGAAAAGCTGTTACCTAAACATCCGTACGGATGTTGCTGAATGCGCATGTTCGGCATACTCCGTTTCGATAGCTGTTTTTTTGATAATAAGAACGACATTATGTGCTGCCGCTAATGAAAGTAGAGGACAAAAGAAGATTGGCCCAGAACCAAAACAGTTCTTCGGTGAAAGGCACAGTTCGTCGATGAGCGGCTGATTTAATGTATCGTGATACACGGACGCTTCCCTTCGCAGACACTATACGTCTCTGACATAGATGTGGTTCCATGTGAATAGGTCCGTGCATAACGCAGGTACCTGCGTGCTTGTGGAAGGCACTGCCCGCTTCGTAGATGCTGCCGGTCGTCGAGCTTTGACACTCCCCGACATGCTTGAGTTAAGCAATACCACGATCAGTGCTTTGGCTCGCTTGTGTTGGCTTCTTCGCCGTGGCTATCCATTTAGAGGTTGTCACTTCAGACCTCTGTTTCACGGAATTCCGCCGATTCTTCTAGACAACATTTCCTCTCGAGACGGGCTCACCGACACTGTTGCGGTTGCTGAAAATCGTTGCAACCGTTATTTTTATCAGGCGGAGAACTGATTTCGCATGAAGTATCTGCAGGCCACCTGGATATGATTGCTAATGGTGCTGAGGACGATGGCGCTATCATACGATTAGAAAAATGGCGGCAAGTAGACGAATGCGCTAGGAAAAGGAGTAATGTTCCGCGGTGCTTGCAATCAGTGCTGATTGTTTCCGAACTAGTTAACGACGAGCTGGCTAGCGTCCGACGAAGGATTCAGAGAAAAGAAAACGTACTGCTATCTACTGTGAGTAAGTACGGTGGATAATAGAACGTTCGAGTTTCAAGGCAGACTGATTGGTGTGCGTGCTTGATAAGAAAAAGAACTGGTTGGAGAGAACTGAAGGCATTGCTGCGGCCGGCAATCACCTAGGTGACAGCGAGAAAACACGGGCCGATTGCGGAAGATTGTGATTTACGTAACTGGCTTCTTCGGCAAGCAGATAATCAGGTGCTTATGTGTGTTTTATAGGTTAACCCCCTAAAATTGCGTCGGAAATGTGCACGTGTTCCCGAACCGATTGAAACCGCGACATCAAACAGATCTCAATCAAGAAATGTGACCATTTTACATGTACAGAGTATTTCCGCGTGTAACGTCCTAGAATTAGGTCTCTTTTTAAGCCCGTACATTATAATGACGTACAAGTTCTGCTGCATGTAAAAAAATTGCTAGAGAATAATCACTGACATGTCATATATCGGCAGAATTACAGTGAGGTGAGTAAATATTTATAACTTTATAATATTAATTTTGCCAATAGTAACAAAAAAATGTAGGGTTTTCCCGCAGAGCGTAAGCGACGGCGCCACTTAAAGGATAAAGCCAAGGTGATTTCAATTCAAATCTCAATGTCGTCGTTTACTGTAGTCTGGAAAAGGACACGGCCATTGGTAGACGAGCTACCTCTTTAGAATTTAACTTATTTCATATTTTGAATACATTTTTCAACCTACTTCCTGATAACCTAAAAATACAGTGATCGGTTCCTAAAAACGAGTAGAATGCATCTTTATTTATTGGCTTGTATGTACTAGTACATTTCTAAACCATTTTGCTTGCATCAAAACTCAGCCCAGTCCCGACATCAAAGTTGTCAATCGATCTACCATTAACTTAAATGGACGCCAGTCTTGCCACTTTTGTTTGCGATGAAACGAAGTCAGTGAAGAAGTATTCGTTCTTCCTATTCTGAGTATCATCAAGTGAGCCTACGGGAGTGTATAGGACAATTAGCTGGATTACGGCAATCTTCTCAAAATGTTTGTCAGTCGATGTCTGTCTATCCGTCTTAATGCGATCTCCGGCACCGCGGCACTGGAGAATTTATGATCGTCACAGGTATCGGTGTTGGAAACTTTCTGCCGTTTCGTGTGTGGACGTGTTGCCAAAAAATTCATTAGTGAGCAGCGTTGAACATTAGAGGACCGTCCTGTGGCTACAGCGGAAGGTGGCTCGAACTGTCGAAGGTTCGTTGATACAATGTAGTCTGGACCGCAGTGAAGAAATGAGTCTGTTGTGAGGCTGCCACATAAATTAGTTAACGGGACACCCTATCAATCGGCTCGACAGCTAACCGAAATTATCTGTGAACCTGGGTAAAGTAGTTTGCTGTTACGGTCGGCCGCGAAGCCTATCCTGGCAACGATATTGTTGGGTGACAGGTCGCTTGATCAATACCGAACTTATCGAAATAGTGATGAGAAAAATTAGAAAAAAAAAAATACTGAGATCCTGTTCTTTTACATAACTGGCTGTACGTAATTACTAGTTCAATTTAAGCTTGCACGTAAGGCTACTGTCTACCTGTCAACTTCGTTTGAACAGGCCCTTTATTATATTTGTCATGATATATAATGTTGGCCGTTGATATTATCAATGGCGACTTGTACTGCTATTGCTTGTGTCGATTGTCTATGTTACGGTGTTACAATAGAACTTCGTTTTAGATAAGCTGGATACAGACAATATAATTATTTCTATGACATAGAAATAAACCAGCTGCCATTATAATTGCTGAACACCGACGGTACGTAGATAGACAAGGTTTGTGGCCGTCATCTACTTCGCGCCATTTTATACGATTATCAAAAAAAAAAATATCTAAAACTTACTTTAGATACGCTGCCGACAATTTAGTCGAACGGCCAGCAGAGGCATATGTATATATATATATATATATATATATGGTCGTGTTAAATTTTTGGTGCGTTATAAATTTCGATAGGATATTCTATCAGATTGTTGGAACTGCGACCGAATTTAGGAGTAATCTATAGCTAAAAATTGTAGAAATTAACTTAAACCGCGCTTTACTCGGAGACACGGCATAGCCTTTGTTCAAAGAGAGATGACACTACTACTTGGGACACACAACTCGAAGGATTTTGCTATTTGTCTTACTAACGAGAGGATTTGCATTTGTAGAAATGGCGATATGCACCAAAACAAGTGTTTGTTGAAGTTTCATTTGGTACGATAATTTGGTACCTTTACCCAATATACGGATAATAAGTACGTGTTTTTTTCCTGTATTCCAACCAACTTAGAGAACTTAAAAGGATTCGCTAAGCAACGTAACGCTGAGATAGCTAATTTCAATCTACAATCGAACAAAAGCTCAGGTAATAAATAACAGCAGTGTTGCAGCCATGGCTTTTAATTATGATTCAATTGAACTTATTACTGATATAAAAACTATCTCAGAACGGCTTTCTATAACAGGTCATTTTAGTGATGGCTCAAAGGGGCAGATTTTAGCAAAACAAGAAAAGAAAAACACTCGAAGCCTGAACTCGAACTGCTGGACTTCGAAGACTTTAGCTGCTGCACCATCGAGTAAGCCATACCACAGATCCAACATGTCATACATTCACTTTTTACGGTCCATAAATAATTTGGAGATATTATCATTATTATGGTACCATAGAAACCCGCTTCATCGGTTGCCACGCCGTCACGTAATTCACTGGCACGTTCAAGGGGAACGGCAGGACTTGCAGAACATTTTCCTTGAATGTTATTTACAAACAGACACATCATACGAGAAATCTACAGCCTTTAAACCGCGTACGTCGACTAATCTTTTTAATAAGAAAATCATTCAAATTTGGAACAATTCAAAATCCCTTGGTCAGACCGCGTCATTTGCTTCGTGAATGATTATCGGTCCGATTGATACGGATTATTAATCCAACAACCAACCCGCAGTGACAAACAGGCACAATTTTATTTAATGGTAACGGCTCCTGGGGTACTGATTCATCATCCGTCAGCAACAGTCGCGCAACAGCATCAGAAAGTGCGATTGTATAGTTCGCCTATACAGCCTGATTCACATCGCCTTTGGACAGATACCATTGCTGGGTAGGCAGTAGTAAAAACTCTATGGGAACGATGGGTGTCAAAGACCACCTGTCTTCCAGTTTTAGTAGCGGACTGCACGAGCTACGAGCGATAATCGTTGTTGCTATCTGTCGAGTAGATAGCTTAAGAAGCACTCGACGGTCGCGGCTCGTCTTTTAGTATAGAAGGACTCGGGTCACAACCATCAGAATGGTGCTTATGAAGCGCGCTGATGGGTTTTCCTATGTAGCCTTAAGTTACAGAAACTTTTATTTATTTATTTATTACTTATTTTGAACAGACTGCTAACTTAGTCGTGATTCATAGTTGCGCTTGTGCGATTGCTAAGTGATGCTGTCGAAAGAAGACAAACATTGAACGCAATTATGATTACGTGTTATTTCCCTATTCATGCTTTTCCGCAAATCTCACGCCTCGTTAGACGGGGTTACTAGCAATATCGTAAGCGTAACTTTCGACATGTTGATAGTAAGTAAAATGGAAAAATACATAACCTTACAAACAATTCCGTACAAATGACGCCCATATGAATGTGATATTTGGAAGCTACGACTCACTATTTCACTTCAAGGGCCTTTTGCTTTTCGTCATTTTGGTTCTATAAGCGTAGGTATTCGGCTTACCAATTTGACTTCAATCTTCTCTTTTTCCCACGAACGATGTCCTATTTTTCCATAATGTTTCAATGATTGACCTTTTCGTGTTATTTTCGTAGGATCTAGTCCGGCGAAAGCCAGCTTCTCAGTACCATCTAACACTTCGGCTTCCTTTTTGTGGCGCTGATGGCAGAATTTCGTGCTCGAAACAGTTTTCCTGTCGCTTTACATCGCCCTATTCTTATTACTTGACCCCGGTGCTGACTACGAACGATGCGGCGTTCAATAGGAGACAGCCTGGCACTGGAAGAACGCGACAAAAACGGGCCAATCAGCTCCCGTTAAAGGCCAAGCAACAACCATGCGGAAACAGATAGGGAGAAGGCATGTGAATCTTTGAAGCTTCGTTTATACGAGTACCATCAACGGACAAATCGATCAGCAGAATGAAGCAGATAATAATGAAGATAATAACGATGACCGCTCCTCGGCTTCAACGGCGCTGTACAGCTATGGCCAAACTCGACATAGTCGTACTCGACACTCAGGACGGGCAAGCGTGCAGGAAAGTCTTTCTTAACTCCACCAGCTGACCACATTCAGGCCGTTATCGGTTCCGACAAAATGACAGGAAGTGGGGTCCAATGTAGACAATACGCCAGACCTTCTAAAACAGCAAAGACGATAAAGGAATCTGGAACGAAAGTAGGCGAACAAGAGAGGCCTTAGTAGGACAATAAGAATAAACAAATATAGACGAACTATTACAGTGGATGAGGGGATGTACGTCTAATTTATAGTAGGATACAAATGAATGAAATCCTCATCCCTGGCCGTTCCTGCTCTGGCCTGGTCTGAGGTGCTGCTAGTTCATGATGTGTTGTTGATGGCGGTCTGAGCTTTAGGATTAGAGTGAAGGGCGAGCTAATCGAGATACGGATTGTGCTAGCATTGAGGTTGATTTCTTAAGCAGACTCAACGGCGACGATGACGACAACGCCGGTATCGCTTCGTTTAACTCGGCCGCAGCACCATTAACAGTGGATTCGCGCGTCAATAGACGATTTGACGAAAATTCAATCGAGCGTGGAATTACCGTAGGCATAGTAGTTCAAATGATGGGAAACGACTTGCCGCTGGCTACCGGTCACAAAGACATACAACAGAAGAGAATGACTGGGTAAATACTGGACAAATGCTATTCCACCCACAGAGCTAACGACGATACAACCATTACGGGGTTGACTATTTGCTAGTTCACGTTCGAGCTGACCCAGAGATAGTGATCTAACCGTGAATTAACAACTCCAACTTCATCTGGTTTATCGAAGGAGCGGACATTCGTCAGGTGAGATTACTCAATTCAATTCAATTGCTGCCACAGGATGTGCGTCAGTGTAGGGAATACCGTGTGACCATATGACTAGGTACCACCCTTACCTATTTCTATAATAGACACATTGGACACAGTGTACATTGGACGCTATTATACCTGAAGACAATGAACGAACCTGTTGTAGCTGCTGATAATAAAAAAAAACACAATAAAATTGAAAACAACGAATGAAAAATATTACATGCAATAAGGTGCGGCGTCACTGAAGTACCATATGATTCCAATAAGCCCATACGAATTAACTCGTCAGAAATAAAAACCGGCAACAAGATATACAGTTCCCACAGGTTAATTGTAGAACGCTACTAAATTGAAAATGGCGTAAAAACAACTACTACAGTTTAAATAAATGTTATTATTTATTCATAAACAGTTTCATTATATGTTCAATTGCACCTATAATGTATACTTCTTTTTGCAATCGTTCGGGCCCAATTGACCAAAACTCGGCAGTCTTGTAAAGACGAACATACCATGAAAAGTCAGTTGGTGGATAATTACACTACACGCATTTGGGCTCTGTAGAAGGGGTGCGTATGTTACCACTAGCGACTTCGACGCACCGACGCGATTCCGTTATAGGAACCTTTTTACACTGGGGTAAACACTTGAGCAGAGGTCAGATACGTGTGTATGTGTATCTGTGGAGGAAATGAAACATTAGACAAAGGAAAGAGGTGCTATCAAATAGCAAATAATTGCAGCAAGATGAACATTGATCCCCAGGAGTCCATTCCGCTGGTAGAACACAATGTTCTCTCGTAAGGCTTGCTTACACAGACCAGCTCTCCGCGGCCATGTTCAAAGACGGGATCACTAACGCGATTGGCGTTCTTTCTCTCGTTCTAGGGTTAGGTCGCTCCTTCCTGGAATCCCAAACCTTTTCCGTTCGACTCATATAAGCTGGTAAATCGGCATGGGAGCGCGGTTCTTGGCAGGCTAGGTACCAAGACTTCACCTTGTGAACAGCCGATTCTGTTGGTTGTCATCGCCAAGAACTCGACATCGTTCTATGATCCGAAGTCTGAATAGCGCAGTGTTGTGACTTACTTGCGAACTTTGTAACCCTGGAGTTAAAACATTCTGGAGCTTCCATTTACGTTGGAAAACTACGTAGACCAGAAAGCGCTTGCATGATACATCTGGGCTTATGGTAAAGAACGACGGACCCTGAGGACTCCCGCACAGAACATGCAAAACGGTCAGCGTCGATCGGCATGCAAATAGAGCTTTACTTAGGATAAACTCTCCCTTGACGACACTTTTAGGCCCACCCGACTCCTTAAAAGGTGGCGATCGCATCGCAACACGCATACAAGTGCTGGCACCCTCAACGTTACCTCCCAAGTTAGATAAGCTTATAGGTTTCAATGGAAATAGAAGCGTAATTTTCGTTAGCGGTTGATATGGACCCAGTCTCTTAAGTGTATAACCTTGCCAAGTCCAGGGATAAATAGCGATGTTGCCAATTGCTACATTTGATCTTGAGTGTAGGTATTTTAGGGGAATGAATTATAGAACATATCACAGATATAACAATCAAAATCAATTGGATACGTCATAAAACTTGGGGGCCATATGAGATCCACTAAGCAAATAGACAGACAACAATAATTACATCAAGAATGCTTGAAAATGATAACAGTTCAACCAAACAGATCAGGGTACTACTCCTCGTTCAAAACCGACTATAATTTCCCCTTGGGAAAACATCCCTGTTTGCCCCTCCTTGTACACAAAATGTTATACTTACTTGAGAACAAAGATAGTATCCGTGCCATTTCCTTAGTTAGCTTTCACCCTCATAAGTGACGATACCTGCTAACTCAACGAAATTACATTGTCATCTGTGTTTTATCACTTCAACGCGCTGATTTTCGTCCGTTTGAAGCTCGCTTTTGCTTTCCACGCGTTTACTTGCCGGTTTCTTATCTTGCTCCTTCGCGCTCGTCACTTTCGATTGCTTAGCCTCGCAGTTGTTGATCGCAGCGCAGATATGGCGACGATTGATACCGTCGCCATATCTGCGCAGTGTAGTGCGCTCAACTTTCAGGCCCACTTTAGCTCTTCGATATTAGTGCGTCGATGGCAGGGGCATTGAGTACGAAAACCAAGTAGGCTTGTTGTGTATACCGAATTCATGGGACGAACGACGCAAAGGGGAAATCCACGGGCTCTGGAGCTGTTTGGTATGGCATGGCATAATGGATATGTTGAGCAGGGAAATGTAGCTCCCTAAAGCAGTCACCCTCTACACGTCCTTACATTATCCCACACTCACCTTAGATTTGTTCAGCTCCGTTGTCCTGGCTAGGATCGCAGGCCTTCCAGCAGCAGACAGATGAGACCACGTGGTCGGTTGCTGGCAGCTGGCAATTAAGAGTCGTCTCTATCCAACCGTCCAGTTGCATCTTCTCGACCGAAACGCTCGCCCGCCTGCCCACGTCAAGGCAAAGGGTGAAAAGAGCATTTGGAAGACTGGACAGCTAGTAAGGTACAAAACCCTATGGATAAGGATCCAAAACCACTGTTGTCTCCCTGGAGGCATTTTCCCTGCAAGCTCTCTGGCGTTACCACTTAGCCGGGGCCTTTTTTCAGTAGCGATCCGCACTAGGCTTTTATTTACGTTCGCGCTGCACGAGGTTACCTTGCATAGGCAAGTCAAGCGTACTTCGACGATGCCACCTGCGCAAGCGGTTATCTAACAAACGGCGGTGAATACATGAAACTGCTCTTTATCCAATGGTCCGTCGATCTTTTCAACTGTCGCTCCCATTTGCTTCAATGTGTTGGTTATTGTATACGGCTGTTAGATTGTCGAGCAAACCAAGATACGACAACAATAGCATATCTCCTATGTCTTTGTGCGAGCCTTAATATTGAAATATCTAGTACAGCTATATATTGGTCATTATGGCCTACATGTTCATATTGTGATGGTACTAACTCAGCTTCACAGTGCCTTTGGTCATCGAACCAGGCACTAGCATTTTTTAAAACCCAGACCTTTTATTCGTAACTGTTTCAATATATCCTTTTACCATTATTTCAGCAATCTCATTTCTATGTAAAGTCGTGAACAATAAATAATATTGCTTTCAAATAACCTGCTGAAAGGTTCCTTTAAATTGCTCACAAACCCGCACATAGGTAAACGTTTGAGCGCTTTGCGACCGCCATGGGCAAATTGGGCACAAATTATATGTTACATAGAAAAAATTTGTGGTATAGATGCTTGCATATCCATAGCAGAATCCATATGCATATGAGTGTAAAACTACTATCCTTATGACGAAACGTGTGTAGCAGATCCTATGCATTTACTTTAGTTTGATACTTTTTGGTAATATTAGCGAATGTTAATGTTTTTTTGCTCGCAGAGCAGATTCATATACATCCGAACTGCCACGTGCGGACTGCATACAACGGCTATCTTCACTGCTATCCCAGAAGACGAGCTACAACGCAAAGGGCCGAAGGCACAACAACATGGGGTATTCATTTAGGACGGGTATCTTGATGATTAGCACCCTTTCACCCAAACTTTACCTTTTTAGCGTTTATTTGTTACTCTTCTTTGTCAGCCTTTATACAAACATGCATACTCTCTCCGAATGTATCTAAACCCGTATGGTAAAGATAGAAAAAAAGTGAGCTCGCCGAAAAGAAAGCAACCAAAGGCGCCTTCTTGACGTGCTCTCCCTTTCTTTCACGGGGCTTCACCGAATCCGTCCACCTATCCAACTTCCTGAGCGATTGTATTAATTATAACGCCACAAACAGTGTCCCCTATCATTAGCTTTCCTGTACGCACTCTCTCGTTTAAGCGTATCCGACCTATTTCCCTGAGTCCTGAGCCGAGCAATCTTCGCTCCTGTCTCCTTCTAGCGACGGAGGCCCTTTGAGAAGTCAGAGAAGGCTTCTGTTTCCCGGAAAGGACAACAGTCGTTTGTTTTTTCGGCGCGAGCTAGGGCGTGCGTCGCAAATCGCAATACTTACCACTCGGTCCCCCTTGGAATCAATCCGGTTCGAAATTGCAGACTCGACCCTCTTTATACCCCACTTCTTGATATACGCCAGCGTAAAAACACGAGTTGTAAGGTCAAGTAGACGAAGGAAAAACCTGAGCAATGACTCTAATAATATATATATATATATATATATATATATATATATATAAAGGTTTTTTTAAATTTTTTTATTATTTTTTAGCTTTTCATATAGTAATAAACAAATATAGTGTTTTTGGCTATTTCGAAATAAAGCTGAATATCTAAAAATTATATGATTTAGCTTTAATGACAGTCTCACATGAGCTCGAGACGATGAGCGTTGGTGGTCGCCATTGAAGATCGAATATTTCGCACATTGGGAGTGATTTCGGTTTTTTGGGCAGTGAAATGTGTGGCCGTCTAAAAGAAGGTATTGCTGGGCGTATTGAACGAACGTCCAACGCGTAATTTAGGCCGAGAGTTACACGGCGACGCATCTGATGTAGTTATGAATAATTCGTTGAATATTGGTATGAAAGTATGTCGATCATTTTTTGCCGAAAACAAATAATTAGCAGGGATTTTTCTCTGTTGAGGCAAGACGTCTTCGAATTTGTTTCGATGTACTGCCGGTTACTGTGTAGCCTAAGAAAATTATAGCAGTTTTGACCACTGTATATGAGACAACGTTTGACCACCACACACTGTCCAAAACACCTATCTTAGCGGATTCAAACGTTGACACAATGATACGACGTAGGCATCATACCGAATTGATCCGGTTCGCATTGTACGTGCATATGTTAACTGGCAAGCAGACAAAACAAAATGGAAAGCCAGTGGATGCTATTGGAAACCTCCTTGACAGCGTAGTAGTAACAATGTGATTGTCTGCTAAATATCTAGGTTCCCTATAGAGGTCATCTAGGTTCGAAGCCGGACCTAGAAACACTTCAGTTC